ATGGCCTTCAAAAAGTTGACGACTCTACATGTTTCGACGTTACAAAAAAACAAAGTGTGAAAAACTACCTGAAGTACCCCACTCTGGTTATGTTGTTCTGACAGTGCAAGCCACAGGAAGTGGCATAATTGTGTGAGTACGTTCTTTAGGTAGTAACTGGATTATTTAACTCCTTTAAAACGGTGGATAACATCCAAAATATAGTTTTTTACGCTTTACCTTAATAGACTAGACGATAATAAAATATTCCATCGCGCTCGACTTTTGGGAAGTTAGTTTAAAAGAGTACGACAGCCATTTCAATCATCTTCCTTAACCAACACAACCACCAGATATCAATTCAATCAAGCATCTTTGAGGTAAACTTGGACGTCGCATCCGCCATCACGTGCTTTCTCCTGAGTAAAATAAAGGTACACACACATACACATTTCATGGATATTTGACACCTTTTCTTAACCTCTCCTTCTTAATACAAATTCGATACAAACAGTATAAATATAAAAGTTATATATAAATCTTCCTTCACTGCATAAGTGTTTAAAATGTCTACATATTCTAAATGGATGAACTGAGAAAATCTTGGCCTTGGAAACAGAACACAAATTTTAAATGCGTACGTTTTATCAAATAGCTGTTTTTAACTTGATACCTTATCTATTTAAAAATGACCTCTAAACAATCAACTTCAAAAGTATTACATTTCAATGTTTTTCACGTTATTTTTTTTTTTTGCAATTTTAGCCAGCTTATAGATAGTTGTCGGTTGAGTAGGTTTATAATGAAAACTGTTTCATCTAGAGTAGAAAAGCGGCAAATTGTTCAGTATTAATTGTTTATACAATTTAAATTCATATGATAATGTATTAAAAATATAATACACATACTCTAAATATAATAATAATATATTAAACAAATACTGTTTTAAGAATTTCTGTCCTTTCAACTACATATCGGCTCGGCATGGCCGGATGGTTAGGGCGCTCGAGTCGCAATCTGAGTGTCGTCCCACCAAACATGCTCGCTTTTTCAGCCGTGGGGGCGTATAATGTGACGGTCAATCCCACTATTCGTTGGTAAAAGAGTAACCCAAGAGTTGGCGTGGGTGGTGACGACTAGCTGCCTTCCCTCTTGTCTTACACTGCTAAATTAAGGACGGCTAGCGCAGATAGTCCTCGTGTAGCTTTGCACGAAATTCAAAACAAATGAACTACATATAAAAGCTTTATATAATTGAATTCAAAACGAACTATTACTTATTCATCAAAAATAAAATATTAATTAAATGAAAACTAAAGACACGATGAATTATGCATTTACTTTAAAAAAAAACTCTTATTTACTATTTTCGAATAGTTTACCATTTTTCTTCAGGAAGAAGAATAGTGAACTATTCGAAAGCGCTCGAGTTGTGGCTCTTGTTTGAAAATCATTACAACTTAAGTTAAAACTGTTGTAGTTGCAAATCCATACCCCCTGGATATTTAATTCATTACATATAAAATCAGAACAATTTTACGAGGTTATGATGATGGTACTAGCGTCTCAGTACGTAGTAATTCGAAAATAATCAATAACTTTTGTGAAGTATTTACATTTTGAAATGACTGCAACACTTCTTTGAATTGCCATCTGCTGACTTCAAAATTCGTATATTATCTGACAATTCAATGTTTATATTTTATAGGATTACAAAACATAAACACTACATCATGTTGTTGTTATCAAATGACACTGTAACATATTTCTAATGATAAATGTTCATTTATTTAATTTCATTAACTTCTTTTGTTTAATCAAATACTGAGTAATTGGTGGCTTCTTTTTACTTAAAACTTTCATGTAAGGTTTTTTAAAATCTTACTAATGGAGAACGCTGAAGAAAAGTTTATCACTGACAAATTAGCGTAAATAATATTAACAAAGTCAAATTTAATTTAAGAGAGCATGTGAAAACAAAATCCCAAGTATTACATCAATCATTTCCTTATAATTCCCTATTTAGGTAGCTGCTTTTCCGTGTGTTCCTCTGAAGGCAGAAAATTCTAAATCCGCGTTAAATGGTTTCCCAGCTGACCCTGGTTTTTGAACACATGCCTTACTGACCCGAGGAAATCATACCTACCTCTTTCTTGAATTCTGATTGGTTCGCCTGGTCAGAACACATTCCATCGATGTTCTAGCAACGGCAACAGGTCTACTGTGGCCCGCGGAAAACCTTACTTGTCTGGTGAAACGAGGAACAAGCGTGGGGCGGCTCATCGGTTCACAAGCTTCTGCGTATGTAGACGCACAAAACACACGCGGTGTTACAAAGTAGGAGAGTTATATGTTTTTCCATTAATGTTGTTTCAGGTTCTTGAGATGATATCGCTGGCAGTATCAAGTTTCAGTTCATGTTTAACTATGGATTACTGAAATTTTATCATCTTGGGTGTGGTGAAAAGTTAAAAAGCAAAGTTTCCGTTAAACTTCTTCGAAAGTTTCACGTTGTCCATGAATACGTTCATCTCTAAAGAAGCAGAAGACGACTCAAGGTAAGACTTTGATTTTATTCTAGAAAAGGAAGTTGGTCGAGTTAACGTTAAGCAGTTTTGTTTCAAAAAATCAGACAGATAGCTAGAATTTATGTATGTATGACAAGGAAGGTTTTTATATATTTGTCTTTATAACTTGCATTCGTAGACTAGAAATCCACTTTGTCCTTCGAGGTTGCTGACAAATCAATTTAATTTGATCCAACAAGGCATTGATAAGAAAAACAAAGAAACAGTGTTTTTCATTTACTGTTTTTCAAGATAAAGTTAGTTTAGTAGAAGAAAACTGGATTTTGATATAATATTTTTACTAATTATATATATGCCCCCCAGTGGCACAGCGGTATGTCTGCGGACTTACAACGCTAGAAACCGGGTTTCGATACCCGTGGTGGGCAGAGCACAGATAGCCCTTGTGTAGCTTTGTACATAATTAAAAACAACAAACAAACAAACTAATTATATATATATATATATATATATATATATATATATCTACCCACAAGATAAATGAATATGAAAAGTTATATGTGTGGTATTTTGAAATGTCTTTTACTATATTTATAAAGGAATTTCAAAATACGCAGCACTAATTATACTAATTTATTCTCATGCATTATTCTGCCAGACAAGATGTTTGAACTATTAAAAAATAAATGTATATATCAATCTATTATTCGATTTTCTACATGTCAATGAGTTATACTGGTTTCGTGGAATTCCACCACTCATCAGTAACCCTTATCCAGGATTACTGATCAAGGGAGAAATTATGCGAAACCGGTATAAGTCAGTTACAAGTGGTAAGTCGAATGAAAGATTGGGTTTCACACTTATTTTTTGATATAAAAAGTTAATTATACATATGTTGAGAATTAAAACACATAATTAACCTGGAACAAAGTGAGTTTCGAACTTGACATATTCAGTAGAGTGTGAACGGTATAGTATTCAGTAGATAGTATATAATATACATATTGTTTACTGTACATAGATAGGTATCTTTTAAAATCTTATTGATCCTTTGACATCTGCCTTGAAACACAGTATATTGTGGCGTTCCGGAGCTACAAAGTTACCACAGAAAAATATAATAAGTTGCATTACAAATTGACAATGACTTTCTCACACGTGTGATAACGCAATAACGATATAGGAAATCAAGAAGAAAATCACAGGAGCGATCAAAAATGTCGTACATCATCTCTAAATAAGATATATTCCTCAAACCTAACGTAAGAGCTGCAACTTACAGAAATACTTATCACCAGTAAATAAACTCAAACGAAGCTAATAATTACACCTGTGAGGATAAGTAGAATGGTTATATTTTAATTAAGTTAACAAATGTCAGGATGTGATGGTTTTATCTGCATGATTTAACGAAATAAACACGAACAAAGTGGTCCGGCATGGCCAGGTAACGTAACAATCGCCAGACTTTTGATCCAGCACAACAATCTATGAACATTTTAGCTAATCCGAGATACTACACCATCATAAAAATGAAAGCTTGGTTAACGAAGCGATCAGCCGTTAGTTTTAAGGTCGGTGTACAACAATATGTAACAAAAACCACAAGAGCATTATGTATCACCACAGGTGAAATGCACCGAAGTGAACTTTCAGTTAGGATTTGTTTTTATTCGTTATTTAAAATTTGTAAACATTAACAAAAATGTGCAGACAACTTTAGGAAAAAAAAATCCTTTTTAACAGTACAGTATTAATTCTTAAATTATGTGCATTGTTTATTAACAGCAACAACAAAATGAAAGTAAATTTGTACAATGTTTTTTCGTGCGAGTGAATTAGAATAGGGGTGAATTTCTGCCAAATCTATAAATTTATCAAACTTTCAACATTCAATATTTTAGAAGAAAAAAAATTAAACTAAAATAGCCCCCCAGTGGCACAGTGGTATGTCTGCAGACTTACAACGCTAGGAACCGGGCTTCGATACCCGTGGTGGGCAGAGCATAGATAGCCCATTGTTTAGCTTTGTGCTTAACTTCAAAACAAACAAACTAAAATAAAACCTTGTTTTTCGTTCTGAATCTAAGATATTTCTTACTTGTCACAGACAAATGATTCATTCACTGTCTAGATTTTTGGTTATGGCGCTCGACTCACAATTTGCGGATCGCGAGTTTGGATTCCAATATTTGTCTTAACGATCATTTAGCCGTGGGGACGTTATAATGTGATGGTCAATCCCTTTATTCGATTAGAGTACCCCAAGAGCTGGCAGTAGGTGGTGTTAATTAGCTGCCTTCCCTCTAGTCTATCATTTCTAAATCGGGGACAGCTAACGTAGATAGTCTTCGAGTAGCTTTGCGCGAAATTTAACAAACAAGTTTTATTACTTGTTTTTCCGACGCTTTTAAAGAGGAGAATGAGACAGCTGTGACTATAAAATAAAGTTTTACTTGCTTTAATACGAAAATATTTTCACCTAAATATATGTCCAACGAACAAATATAGACTACAGAGCTCGAGGGAATAAAAATAGCAGTATAATGGCCTAGTAATAGCTAAACAGATAGATGTTCAATGCTGGATTGCAAGAGTTTAAGATTGACTAATCGTTTCTTTTTATGGGTTGATAAGCTTGTCCAAACCTAACAACACGTGAATTTTCCCATAGTTCAACTGTTAAGAAGTGTAGATCTTAATGCAGACAAAAGCAAGTCAAGCAGCAATTGAGAAGGTTGCTAGTTTAAGGTAGATGCACTTAAGTAATTCCCGATGATAACAAATATGCAATTAGATATCACACAGAACAAAACTGATGCAACAACATCATATGTATTGTGAGGCCATAATACAACACACATCCCGAAAAAACAACAACATGCTAACAGAGAATATCGCAACGCATATAACGAGGTATAACAAAACACATATTGACCTACTATCTCTAATTAGTAACAGTTTCTTGATCACAATAAAACTAGTAATCTAGATTAGGGATAAAATAATGTAAAACGTGACGTATTCATAAGTGAAGAAAATTATGTATAATAACTTGATTAGAAATACTTAATGCCACATACGATATTTGAATTACACGTCGCCTCTTTGGGGGGGGGGGGAGTCTGATAAGATATATATATATATAACAAGTTAGCACTATTAATAGATATTTTGCATTTCATATGTTTACCTTTACAAACCTTAACATTGACAACTCCGAAAAAATGGAGAAGTAAAACAAAGACCCCTAGGTTTTGAATTAAAGTTTTAAAAAGAGGGTCACTTCAAAAAACACACTGACCCGTTGCTGTAAAATATGCTAAGGTGTGAGAAGAATACATCAAATACTTTAAAAAGTAATGCTTTTTTAATTACAAATAATTGAAGATAACTGTGTGTAAACCTACTAGAAATACTAAATGTTCTAAATCAGAATTCCTACATGATTAGGAGGTACTGAATCATCAATTGGTCGTAATCCTTAAATCCGCTCAGAAGATTTAGGTTAGTCCTAGGCCAACAATAAATAAACCTTATAAGTGTAATTTTACTTACTAACTCTAATCAGCAAAATTTAACAAAACTAACAATAGAGAAAAATGTGATTCATTTACTTACAAAACGCAAGAACATCAGCTGTTTTATGCTTAAATCTATACAAAAGTCAACAGATGCTAAAGAAAATGACTAAAATGAAATAACGATATGTTGATGTTTTTAGTGTGCGCCCCACAGCCTCCAAAACACTTTCAACTACGTATTTTGTAATATACCTACAGGAATAAACTTCTTTCTAATAAATTTTAACATTTTTAAGAGCCTGTTTATGATCAACATTAGACTAAGACCAAAACCAACAGAGAAGAATGAGAAATTAACGGCAGAATTCTAAGTTTACTTCTTCATCCAAGAATATTTTCAAATATAGAGCTATACACAGAATCTGAGATACGTTACACAAACAACAACTGAAATACTACTTAAACTTATGACCCTAAATCTGAATGTCATATTTTATTAAAGTTGATAGCAAGTAGTTATTTGTTTCTGAATCATTATTAAGATTACAGATAAACTCACACAAATATAGTGAAATAGAACTAGTTTGTTTTGTTTTATGTACACAAAATATATGAGCTGGTTTTAAAGTGCTTATTATATAGCATTTCAATTACAGTATTATGAAATGTATTTTGCATTACAAATGAAATAGTTTATTGTATATCTGATTTGTATATGTATGCTTGCTGTAACAATGTCGTTTAGAAAATTGTGTTAAGCCTTTTTACGATTTATGTTATTAATTAAAATCCTGGAATATTAGTTCCCTATTCAGTTTAGATACGGTTATTATTTCTTTCCTTACGAACGAATAGATATTATTGTTTGTTTTTTAATAGTTTTGTCGTGCTGGTTATTGTTTCCAATTGTGCATATTCACGGAAAACACATCTACACATTTAACCTCGATTTACCACGTTACAAACCGGAATTGATTTTTTTCTGTTTTCCATCCATGAAGCGGCCTATTCAAAGACAACAACAAACAACAAAATAACTCGCATTTGTTTCGAACTAAGTTATAGTTGAACCACATAAGTATACTTTGCTACATAATGCTTCAAATTATGCTAATGTTTTGTAGTTATTTTTTAAGACACCTTTTTAATTATGCTTTTAAAACATATCTTGATAACGTATGTTTATGTAAAGTTCCAGTGTTAATAAACTTACAAAGTTTGCCACAAATTCTTTGAATAGGGACATTTTCATGAAATACCTAATACTAATTAAAAGCCAAAACTCAAGTTTGTTATGTAAAGTTACGGTATTTTTCATACAAATTAAGAAAGAAAAACGTACATAAAAATCAAAACGAATCTTGTGAAATAAAAAACTGAATTTCAAATAAGACTGTAGCTGTAAGTAGCCTGCGATTTCTAATTAACTATTTCAATAAGTTTATACAAGTCCAAACGGTTCTCCTTGTAGTCACAATATTTGTGACATTTTTGTGCTAATTT